GGACAATTCTCCTCTTTTACTAATATTTACAACTAGATATATTCTCATAGACTTTGTGCTTTTATTCCCTTTTGTTTTATTCTATTTGGTTGAGAATCGGTGGAGTTATTACTACTTTTATACTTGGGTTGTCATGTCCCGCTTCCCCGTGGTGTCCCGCATCACGGTGGCGTACGTTATTGAGAGAAACCACGTCGGAGGTAAACCGGGTGGGCCTCTCTCCAAGATTACTTTCAACTTTCTATGCTCATTGCTACACCCGCACGTACTACGGGACACATCGGTGATCTTAAAAGGCGAGGCAGATATTAACAAAGAATATGAATAGAACATAACGAATACGAGGATATTCTCCAAGTCTACGAGACCCCCGAGGAAGGAAAATACGAAACAAAGCGGGAAATAGCAAATCACAACTCAAACCAGAAAAAAACACCTCTAATGAAAGTCATTCACGCCCACATCAACGCAGGTCGTGTCCGTACTAATCCCTCGTCAGCAGCTACTTACTCAATGGCATTACCCCGGGCTACCGAAGGAGAATGTAGAGGAAGAAAGCTGACAGAGAAATGAGAGTGGCGATCATCCAATACCGATGAGCCGCGATGGAGAGGATCGTTCGCGGGTTGTTGGCGTGGATGTCAGCTTGGCGGGCAGGATTCGAGGTGTCTAAGAGCAACATGGAACGCAGATGAGGCTGCGTGAATGGTCCAGTTCCGGAGAGGTCGCTTTTTGTAGGTCTCGAAACAGATCCTCTGCGATCCAAGAAGTGTCCCGGCTCAGCGGGGTTTGCCGGTGGCAGCGCGGGTAGGGCTTCACGGCCTGTGAAGCGGATGTTAGGATCACCACCACTGCGAATATCCAACGAACACTCACGTAAATGCCTAGCGGAATGCGCAGGCGGTTCCTGGCGTGTGGGGTCTGCTGTGCCGGAATTGACAATATAATCTTGTAGGATCCACACAACGTCATCGTGACCATTAGAGAGAGCCCACGACAGTGGTGTTTGACTCTGGTTATCTGGTATGGTGGTGAGGACATCTTTCCGCTCTAGGAGCGTCTTTACAACACCAGTACTACCGTACATAGCGGCCCACGAAAGTGGTGTCCAGGCATATGCCCTGTCAACCGCATTGGGATTAACCTCCCCTCGTTCCAAAAGCAGTCGTACTACCCCCTCATGCCCGTTCTTAGATGCCAGCAAGAGTGGAGTCCAACTATACTTAGTGTCTAGCCGGTCGGGATAGACTTCGTCCCGTCCGAAAAGCATCTTAACCACCTCCTCGTGCCCGCGTTCAGCAGCTAACGAAAGTGACGTCTGGCCACATCCGGCGTCCACCGTATCGATATTGATATCTCCCCTGTCTAAGAGCATCGTCACTACGACCTCATGCCCGTTCTTAGCGGCCCAGGAAAGTGGCGTCAGGCCAGACCCGGTATCTGGCTGGTTGGTATTGATATCCCCACGACCCAAAAGCATCCGAACTGTCCCCTCATGCCCGTGCTCAGCCGCCCACGAGAGTGGCGTCTGGCCACATTCAGTATCTGCCACATTCGGATCGACATCCCCATGTCGTAAAAGCACCTTCACCACCCCCCCGTGCCCGTGATAGGAGGCCCATGACAATGGTGTCCGGCGATACTTGGTATCGCCCTAGTTGGGTTTAACACCCTGTCGTTCTAAAAGCATATCTACGACCTCTGCATGTCCTCCTCTAGCCGCCCATATGAGCGCCGTACTTCCCATGCAATCGCACGAATTAACATCCCATTCCTTGAATTCTAAAAGAGCAGCGACTATCCCTGAATTCCCGAGAAATGCTGCTCCGTGGAGTCCTGTAAACCCTGCTGGTCCTCCCACTCCGGTAAAATTAGGGCGGAAGTCTCTATCTTGATTTGAGTGCAATAACATCAATTGGGTAGATATATGCCCATCAAATCTCTCAAGAAGCCTTAGCGCAAGTTTTTTCACATTGTCCGTCACGCCCCTTGTTGTGTGTTCCCCCCAGTAACACGAGGCGTATTCCAGAAAGGGCATTGTCGACGGGGCAGAGCCAAGAGTGGGCGAAAGATCACGGACACCTCGAAAATTGAGGTATGTCAAGCAAACCTCCGCAATTGTTGAGTGGGGTTTATGGAATAGGGTTTGATTACTCGCGAGATGATCCTGCAGGGTAAAGTGCACCAATCGGACAGTGGACGAAGATGCCTCGACAGTGACAAGGCCCAGGCAAGATGCTAGGAGTGTCCGTAACGCAGGAATGTTTTCAACATCCAGGTCTTCGGTTCCGACCTCTACTCCTAAAGCCTGGCGGAGCCCCCCAGTCCGTAACGGCCGTTCAGAATACACAACCCACATCAGCACCTTCAGCCCGAGAATTGGTTTATGCCCCTTCTGCGCCTTCAGCCGGTTTAGAGTTTCCCTGTAGGCATCGTGCAGTCCATTTCCTTTTGCCATCTCCTCCAGCTTCTTTTTTCTCTGCCGGATTGTCACTTCTCCCAAAATGGCGTCCATGTTTAGCGAAACGAGGAGGAATCCATGCAAGATTTTCTGTAAGTATACCTCATTGGCAGACTGAAAATGGGATTTCCTCCTACGCACGTGTCGGATATCTTTTCCAGTATACATCTGATAATATCCCTGCCCAAATCCTCGTTCATCGCGTCTGACTCGGCATCCCTGGCCAATCTCATTTTCACATAATACCTAATATCACCAGGATGGGGACTAACGGATATCACAACTGAGGTGGTGAAATATCTGCTGATCCCTTCCTTGACATGGTGCCTCCCGGTCAGAAATATTCTTATCTTAGGAGATTCCTCAACAATATCCCTAAGCGACTCGAGAAGCTCTGGAAGATCCTTTGGCAAATACTCGTCCAGGGCATCGATACAGATGAAAATCTGGGGTAGCGAGGCAATAGTGATCCTCAGCATTCTCATCAGATCCTGAAGTCGCAACCCTCGGCCGCCAATCTCTACCTTCCCTTCTTGAAACGCCTCACGTACATGAATGGGGAGGTCCCCTCTCCCTACCAACTGTTTCAGAATAGCCCCCATCACGTTTGTGATAGTCTGCTCCTGCTGGGCAAGGTAGGCGCAGTAGAAGCATGCAACAGCAATATCCTCCCCTTGAGCCTCATCGCACAATCTATCGATCACTAGGGAACTAGTATCCCTGAATGTCAGGTACGTCCTTCCTTTAAAAACAATCCAACAGCTACCTCAGATATGTCTTGCCCACACCCGGATTCCCGGCGCAGAACAAGACAGCCTTATCGGCTCCACCCGTACTATCCCTCCACTCCCGAAACTCGCATGTTTCAAAAAGCCAATCACCAACACCGTCGATCCTGTCGGTACGCACGAATTGATGTCTGCTGCTTGCCTCCAGTGGGTTGCCTCCAGTGGGGACAGCCAACGCATAATCTGCGCGTTCTGGTCGGACTTATATTCAATATTGTTAAAACTCCCTATTATGTTGCCACAGTGGGAATAGCCGCCGCGTTGGTTGACGGGTGGTATGCATATAGTCTGGGCCATTATATTCTGCTCAAAGTATTGGTTTAACGTAGAAATAGTA